AACGTAACATGCGACGAGGTCGGTGTTGTAAAGTTGAGATGAGTTTCTGGATACTAATCGGTGGTTAGTCTCTATAGAGCGGCCTGTTAGGTTACTCTTGTTAACTACCCTCCAACTAGATCCCTGTACTCGACTGATAATACTCTTATCTCAACAGGGCTTAACGTAGATATGTTTATGAAACCAACTCGTACTGATACAAAATTTATTAGAATTCTCTTCTAACAGGTTCTCATACAGTAATTGGGTTATAAAAGGGAAAATTCTGATGGGGATCGGTGATATGGATCGACAGAGTTCACGGTCACGTAAGAGGAATTTTTCAAGAAGGCATTCCACGCGCTCTATGTCCAGCGCAATAAAAGCTCTGGGAATTTTATCACGATCTAAAACTGACGTTCATGAGGACCATGAACGATAATTTCTATAATAAGTAATAAAAGGACGTGATGAGGGTTATTATTTTGGTAAGTCTTACAATACTAGCAACAATATTTTAAAAGCAATCTTTGTATTAGAATAGTTTAAAAACAAACAAAAATATGTAACTCGTTTTAATATTTAGACATATAACTGGATAATTTTTTGTGATTCTTTACAAAAAATATCTTTTTATTAAAAAATTATAAGAGCAATAATGTTGATTTTTTTATCGAAAATCTTTTAAACACAATTTTTTATTATATTGTGTATATTACGTTTTATCTATTCTATTAACAATATTTTTGATTACAACAAGCTATGTTCGTGTTGTGTGGGCGGTGCGTGCGTGAAGGAGAGAGCTTCGTACTTATTAAGTTTATGAAAGAAACGGATTAAGAGTGATAAATGGATAATTTTACGCTATTCCTAGAAAACCGAACATTTTAAAATACATTGTGTGCATATAACTTTTACTAAGCAAATTCTTACCAAAATTAATTTATTATAAATACATGTATGTGAAATTTATATATCTATTTACGTATCCCGTTTGTTAGGTGGAGCCTTTTCTTTCTTTTTTTTTGTACCTTTCTCTATCTGCGTTGTATTCAAGTCTCTGTTTAATTTTATCTAGCTTTCTATTTCTCTCTCTCCCTCTATCTCCCACTCCCACTCATTCATTCTCACTGCTTCCTCATTTTTTTCTAGCTCTCTCGACCTTTTTCTCTCTCTCTCTCTCACTCTCTCTCTCCCTCTCACTCACTCTCTCTATCTATCTATCTATCTATCTATCTATCTATCTATCTATCTATCTATCTATCTATCTATCTTTCTCTATCTATCTTTCTCTATCTATCTTTCTCTCTCTCTCACTCTTTCTCTCTCTCTCCCTCTCGTTCTCTTTCCCTCTCTCTCCCTCTCGTTCTCTTTCCTTCTCTTTCCCTCTCTCACTCACTCTCCCTTCAATGTTTTATTTTTGTAACATCTATCTTTCTCTCTCTCTTTCTCTCTCTCTCTCTCTCTCTCTCTCTCTCTCTCTCTCTCTCGCTCACTCTATCTCTCTCACTCACTCTATCTCGTTTTCAAATAAACATTCCGAACACTGTAAAAATTTTTTTTTAATTATTGAAATTAGCTTTTAAAGCTTAAAGTAGTAAGTAGGAGGAATATCAACAGTTTGGTCATGTTTATATTAATTTTACTTCTTTTTCCTCAAAAATTTGTTGTTTTTTTAACTCGTTTTGAATTTCATAAGGGTATTAACTTCTGTTTTAGAACCCTCCAGCGTTTTACGAGCTTTTCTCCTTTCTCATACCCATACATGTAATCTAACTTTCTTTTGACTATGTTCCTCCATTTTCGTTCTTTTTTGCCTTTTCTTCATCGTGAATTAAGACTCTTTCAGGTTTTTGCATGTTCTAAACAATCAGATTTTCATAATGTGCACTTTTTCTAAATGTTCTAAACTGATTTGATAATAAATTTTTAAATCGTTAAGTAGATGAGTTAAAATAGTCGAAGTTAAGGAATTGTAGCAATATGTAGATCATAAAAATAAAAGGTTTTAAGTTAAGAAAAATCAACCCATTCACAAACTTCACATTCTTGCCAAATAAACACAAATAACTTTAGGAAAATTTTCTTGCCAAAATTTTCGGCATACGTGCATAAAATTGATTTGGGAAAAATGTACAATTGTGAGGGTGTTTTTGGTATAAAGATAAGGTTAGTCTTGTCTGCCATAAAAATAATTCGTTTCAAGAATGTGATCAATTTTTTATGGTTTCTTTAAGATTTATAAATAAATTGAGTGTGTGGCTACCTGTCTGATTTTATTGTTTCTTTCTATATTGTGTTTTCTATGTACATTCGTAGTGTTAAAATGTTCAAAACTTTGGTATTTTCGAAACGCGATATTTTTCATTTTAATGTGTAGCCATATGATCCATGTCGTTCATTCAAAATCTAATTCAAATTTCAGTAGAACGTCAATGATTTAAGATTAAACCCCATCCTCTCTGAGGTCTAATTGACCCGTAATGACGGTAACTTCAACGGCTCATATCACCTCATGCGTCCTTAAAAGTAAAGAAGCACCTTTTGAGGAAAGCGGTTCAAACTCAATAATCCTTTACCGACTCAGTGACCTGTACAAATACGATTTACCTCTGCATTTACACTCCACACGCGTAAATCTCATCCCTGCACAACTTTATTTAACGTAACAGATAATATCCAAGGAAATTTGAAAATTTAAAGAAAACTAGTGGTTAATGAAAACGATAATTCATATACAAAATCTGATCAATCAAGAATGATTTCTTAAATATAATAATTTGAACATAAGAAAGATTTAAATGATTTACACTAGTTTAGGTAGGAAACATCAATGAGCTGCTTGATGTACGCTGATAACATCGTCCTCTTAGCAAGCGAGCCGCGTACACTATAAAATATAATTAATCAACTACACGTTTATTGTCAGCTGTGACCCCTAGCTATTAAAAAACAGTCAAAAATAAAGGTGTTTAAAAAAAGGAGCGATAAGCACACAATGAAAGGTGGTTTTTGGGAAAAAATAAATAGAGTGTCGCGGTACAAGTATTTGGGACTTACTTTGACTTTTCTGATCTCGTACGAATTTCATTTCTATGCAAAGTTGACTGTATGTAAAATAAGCATAGGTTCAATCTGAAATACTCTCATAAAGAATAATCGTGTTTCTTTAAATAGAAAATATAATGTGTTTGATTCTGTGAACAAAACTGTTATGTGCTAGGGGGCTGCAGGGAACACTCTGAATTAGAGAAATTACAAAAGAATTTTAAAGAAAAACTGTTCCTCCTTCCCAGTTGTATATCCAATTACTTAGATTGTTTTCAATAAGGCCGACTCCCTTTCTTTTTTAAACCGTCTGGCTTCACATTAGCTATGTAAATAAATCGAAAAAGTCACGATCTCCTCATAAAAAACTTAGCAGATTGTATTATAACTAGAAAAATCGACAGGTTGAATGAAATATATGAGTTATGCTGCCAATTCGATTTAGCGTGGACCGTGTCTATGAAAAAGAACGTAATTATGAAAATTCTTTAATAGAAAAAGTTTTAGAAAAACTAAGTTTTATGGGAAATTTATATAATGCTAGAAGTGCAGCCAAATTCCATTTTATATATAAAATATTAAATTCAACTTGGCGAACATAAATACATGAATAATAAAAATAGGTGGTATTTTATGGCTGCATTATTTAAGATCAGGTTTAAATTAATGCAACTTAATTACACAGTGGGTAGACCTCAGGGTCAGCAGAAGTGTGCAATATGGGAGCTACTGAAAACATACCACTTCATAACACTATGCGCAATCTTAAAATAATACCGTAAAAAAGGTGTTGCAAAAAATAAAAATTAGAATGGGAAGAATTTATTATTGGAATGTACCAACTAGAAAAAATTTAATTGCTTACGTGTTACAACCATGTAATTACAGAAAAAATTTAATTAAAAAATTCAACTTTTAGTTTGGAACTTTATATATCCTTTTTGTTTTTAAATTGTTTTTAAACACATTTGAGTCAACACTCTTACAGAAGGACAACGTTCATGTAGTTTGTATTTGTAATACTTTGTAACACAAAACAATGTTTTCTATTGTGAATATTATTAATATGCATTTATTATTATTACAAGAAAGATATTTTAAATGGTTGGTCAATTTGTATGAAATATTCAGTTTGAGATTTTAGGTTTTAATATTTTCCAATGGGAAGGACTGATATGAAAAATTTTCATAAAGGCTTTACCACCTTTTTAATGAATTTCTAGTCGGAACATCGGAAGAAGAATAATGTAAGCCAGCGGGCTCAAAAATTAAAAAAAAGCTTATAAAGTAGGAAATGCCACCCCATTTTCAATATCTGTCTGAATGGGAGATTATTAGGAAATGAATGGCATCAATCATGGCCTGGGCCCATCACTGATAAAGATCTTGATGTTTTACACAACACGGCAAATTTTTAATATTTCCACGCACAGGAGACTTGTCGTTTTTCTTTCGAACGGCTTGAACTGGAAGGGAAGTTCTGCAATAAGCTCCTGAACAGGAAGGAAGTTAGGTATTCAAACTTTTAACTAAGCACTCTTATAAAAAAACCGAACGTTATGTTTAATAAGACAGATACAACGAATTGTTTATCGATTAAGACTTTTGTTAAATCCTTAGAAACGATTTGTTGAATGCATGAGGGAACATTGAGTTAAGAACCTGTAACAATGGTTTACCTAAGACTGATTTTACTTGTAACATCGTGTTTTATGAACATGTGGCTACTTTCTTGTTGAATTAATGAATGCACTATATTTGAAAATATTTTGGCCTTGTTAAAATATTTTGTTTTTAACATAATGTAAGTTACAGAAAAATGGTAAAGTATATCAGTAAGACAGCACATTCGGGCAGGTGTTTTTCAGTACTGCTAGTTACTAATCTATCTATATCATCCTCGACGTCTATCTAAGGTTCTTCTCATTCTGTTTAATTTTTTCTTATAAGTTGAAAAAACTCAAAATAATTACCAATTGTGGAGACAATTGTTGCGGCAAAGTGAAAACTCCCGGCGTAGTCCCATTTCGGTCTGGTCGTGTTTGAAATCAAACTGTGTAGTAAATCCGCTTGTTCTTCAGTGATGTTCGGTATGAGCTTGAGGTATGTGGCAAGGACCGGTTCAGGTTCTTCTTCGAGGAATTGGAAGAGCAACGCTCCAGCTGACATATAAGCGAGAAGAAGACCGGCGAGTAGGAGGAGGCGAGCGTTCTCCTCGCCGAGCCACCGCCAAACCATCACATCACAGCTCGGAGGCGGCACTGTTCTTCTCCGCCCCCCACCCGCGTATGCCGCCCCTTCTGACAATTTGGTGGGGATAGACGTCTCCCTCTCATACCCTTATTAATTATCCTTGGAGAATTTCCGACCGAAAAATATGTAAAGTCCTTCGTCTGAATAATACCTGTCCTGCCCTGACACGTATTTCATTAAGCCGCCTCCCCTCGACCCTTAATCCCTCTTACCTTCTCCGGTTCAACACCACAACTTAACGCTACGGCGTGTACTAGAATTAAATCGACCGACTGTTTATAAGTTAATCCCTTGTTAATTACATATTTTCCCCTCCTCAGGCAAACACATTTTCGGTTCGTTTAAAAAAAAAATTCAAAGCCTCTGGCTTACACGAACTCAAAACACCAACAAATCACGCAGGTTTTTTGCAAAGAAAAATACATTATTTACTCTTTTGGAAAAGAAAGTTTCTGGTCCTATCCTATATTATTTGTTAATTCCTCATTACAAAGCATAACTGGTCACAAACAATAGAGAAAGAGAGCATGGGTGAGATTATTGGGTTGGTCAGTTTGTCACGTTAGTTGAAAAGTTAAGCTTTTACTCTGTGGGCAGTATAGGGGTGTGTGGGCTATAACGAAATATAATTTGCACGGTCCTTGTTGAACAATTATAATTTTTAATCTGTCATAAATACATTTCATATAACTTTCTTCTGCTCTTCCAGTATAAAATGAAGTGAATTTCGAGCATTTTTTTTACATTTTTACGGTAGAAAAACGTCAAGTGTAACATTTTTCTATACACTCCGTTCTCATGCATATTGCATTATATCTAAGTGTAATAACTCCTCATAAAAGCCAATACGAAGTAAGTAAAGGGAAACTGGGAGCGTGGACGACCTCATTATAAACGTCGTATGCAGCCGGGCATGTTAGATATGGCCAAGAATGAAATAGCACTGAAGGAATTTATGTAACAATGTTAGGGTGGAGAACCACATACGACCCTCCTGCACGCTCTTCCCACTTGCAAACAACCGACCAATACGATTGAATGGAAAATACCTTTTACGACTATCCGTTTGGTCAACACCATTAAATGAATATTACATTTGTTTAACTATTCCATTGAGCGTATTAACCTAGTTAAGATAAATTGATGGTCCTAGTAAAAACGAATTAATAAATTAAAGTGCCAAGTTTTGTTGTTACAATATAAAACAATAAACATTGTTATTACAATATAAAAAAACCATTGTTTTAAATATTTTAATGCATAGGAAATATCTTGAGTATCACTGGAAACTTTCTTGCGATAGATTTTCTTGAAGACGAAAAATATCGTAATTTTCTATGGACTGATAATTTGTTAGATTAACTGAGATTAAGACAAACGGAACTGCAGGGAAAAAGCGAGAATGAGAGAGAGAGAGAGAGAGAGAGAGAGAGAGAGAGTGAGTGAGTGAGAGAGAGAGAGTGAGTGAGTGAGAGAGAGAGAGGAAGAGGGAGGAGAAAAATATAAAAATAGAGAGAGAGAAAGAGAGTGAAAAAAGATAGAAAGAGAGAAAAGGGAAGATAGATTGATTGATTGATTATCGCTTTATTTAAGAATCACTCAAGGTTTGGTCTCTAGCACCACCTTTACACCTAAAGTGAAATTACAGCTACATGATTTTATAACCTCTACTCAACCAACTATACACAACAAAGTTGAACAAATTAATTTTCTCTTATAAGCTATATACTTGTTTACTTTACTTAGTGGATTAACACATTCAAAATAAAAAGTAATCTTTAAATAATAACAAAAGTAACTTCTATCAGGAGAAAAAAGAAAGTATAGATATTTGCAATATTTGCAAGTTTAACATTATAAACTTAAGTGACAGTTCTAAAGATACATTATCAAGATCTATCACTACCTTGAGTGACTACCTTTGACTTAAGTGAGGAAAAAGAGAGAAATAAAATAATATTACAGTATATTTTTACGCATATTTTGATACAAAATAATTTTTTAGTTTTTTCTATACATACTTATTTTGTTACAATTCTGAATTTCAACTGGTAACTTTAAAAACACTCTTGCACTTTAAATTGCAAATGAATTATTAAATATTGTGGTTCTATGTTTTATAATTTGTAATTGCTTTGTTTAATTGTAATTGTTTATATCTAGTGTTTATATTATGTACAACATATCTATATTTTATTTTATATATATATTTGATACATATTATAAAGAGGGAGAGAAATAGAAAAAATGAAACAGAGAGAGAAAGAGAGAGAGAGAGAGAGAGAGAGAGAGAGAGAGAGAGTGAGTGAGAGACAAGAGAGCGGGATAGAGAGAGAGAGAAAACTATAAAAAATTAATTGATTAATCGTTTTAATAAAAATCACATAAAGTTAGGTCTCGTGGGCCTTTCTTACACATAACGAGTAACTATAATTAAAATATTTGTTTATAGTCGCAACGGACATAAAATAGAAATAACTACTTACTGTAAAAACAACAATGAAGTAAATGTATAAAATGAGAACAAGTGGAACTTATTATTTTTAACCAGAGCATATTATAGTTGAGTAACAGGGTTAGATTTAGAATTTTCGTAAAATTCTTGAAAATTAGATTAGAACTTCTAGAAATGGAACATGATTTTTCTATTTAAAAATGAAATAAAATACTAATAAATTGATTATGAACGTTTTACAAGTTAATGTAAAAGTATATAATAAAAAAGATAATAATAAAAGAAATAAATAAAAGTGTATGAGTATGTGTATGTGACGTTAACTACGAAAATATTAAATAAGGTGAATGCTAATCTGTAGTATTATCTTCAACTTGTTCCTTAATAAGTAATCTTTAAGTTTTACTTTGAATGATTTTATACGAACTCTCTGTTTCGGTATTGGGTTAAAGATTTTTGAAGTTTTTATTTTAAATGAATTGCGAAGTATTTTTGTTCTATGTTTTGGTAGGTCAGTTAAGTAATTAGCTGTACTGATATTAATGTTATATATATTGCATTGAAATTAAAAATTATAAAACTTGTAGGAAGCATTCTTAATTTGTAGTATTTTCTATAAAAAGGTTGCTATGGAATAGATTGGTAGGTCTTTAATTTTTAACGTTTTCAACATTAAAAATTTATCATATATTCTAGAATCATATTTTATGTTAAAGATATAACGGATGCACGTATTTTGTGCTTTTTAATATTTATAAAGAATAGTTGAGATCAGTCATGACGACTACGTTGTAATGAATATATTTCATTACTAAAGAATTAATTAGTTTTAAGGTTAATTTTTTTATAGCGTGCTTATTTGTGTACACTTTTTTAAAAGTATTTTATCAATTTGTGATTCCCATGCTAGAGTGTTAGTTACAGTGAAATCAAGATAATCAACATTGTTTTCAAAAGAAAGGTTTATACTATCAATAGTAACACTTGAGATATTTGCAAGGTTTATTCTGTTAATGAGCTGATAGTGACCAATTATAATGGCTTTGCATTTTGATGGCTTAATAAAAATTAACTATATTAAATTCTCCAGTTGGTTAAATGTTTTGCATCATTACATTTAGAAATATGGAAAATTAGTATTAATATTTTTAATTTTAATTTTGATGTAGATTCCTATATCATCTGCGTACATAAGAGAGAGAGAGAGAGAGAGAGAGAGAGAGAGAGAGAGAAAGAGAGGAGGGGCGAAGTAAAGATATGAGAAAGAAAGATAAGCAGAAAAATGAGAGGGAAGGACGGTGTGTGTGTGTGGGTGAATATAAAGGAGAGAGTGATATGACTTCACTCTTCTCTCCTCCATATTCTCTCTCTCTCTCTCTCTCTCTCTCTCTCTCTCTCTCTCTCTCTCTCTCTCTTCTCTTGTGAAAAGTGGTCAAAATTACTTCTAAGAACAAAAAATAGGTATGAGGTTGAGAGTATTTCTTAATTCATGTTAAACCAAACACAATTTCACGGCGTTACCATTAGGCTAAACCATCATGAACATCAGGTCTTGCAAAACTGTAGAACTGTTCGCTTTGATGTGATTATATTTATACCACCATATTACTATCCCTTTCTCCTTTATATTCACACACACCCTCCTTCCCTCTCTTTTTCTGCTTATCTTTCTTTCTCATCACTCTCCTTCGCCACACCGTCACTTTCCCTCAATTTCACGACGCTACCGTTATGCTGAACCGTCATGAACGGCAGGCAGCTCTAGAAATGTTCGCCGTGATATTATTATAGACAAGAGAAATTCAGCCGAGCCATCTATAAAAGACACCCTATATAATAAAACAAACCTGTCCCCCACCAAAAATCGTAACAGGGGACCCAAATACTCGTTGCCGTCCTTAAGCATAATTCTCAAATCGGGAGCATTCATTCAAGATCTCTATATGGAAAAGCCATGGAATTGCACCGTTCAAATATCTGGAACCTAGCAACCTTTCTCTAAATGCCGGACACATACGCGAGCTTTGGCCCAAAAATAAGTGTCCAGTGTCAACCTCGCATGGCTTATTCTTAATGATCCTTTTTCTACGACGGTTTTCCTACAGCTACCCATCGACATTGATATTGAGACGTGAGAGCTTCTCGGCCGACTCGGTCAAATGTCTTGCAATTGTATTTGTATAAAAAATATTCATTACTCTATATGAGAGCAATTCGAGTTTATTATTGAAGGTTAATTAATCACTTAAGTGAACTTTTTGTTTTAAACTATAAGCCGAATTAATTTTTTTCTCAATATCGATTAAACTTTTTACTTTTATTGCAGGATATGCAAATATTTTTCTATCTTTTTAAAAGAATTCATAATATTAGATTAATCGTTTGTTTTATTCGCAGGATTAGGTATGGTTGATAGCTTATATCGCTTAATGTTATTTATGAATTACAAAGTATCCTTGACACGAGGTAGTTATAATTTTTAAAAAACATTAACGCATAATCCTCATTAATGATAAAAACAGAATTCTAAGAAAAACAG